TTTCGTCCTGACAAAATATTTGAATTAAAAGATACATCTGCCGGGCACGGTGGCTCAAGCCTGTAATCCCAGCACTTTGGGAGGCCGAGGCGGGTGGATCACGAGATCAAGAGATCGAGACCATCCTGGTCAACATGGTGAAACCCTGTCTCTACTAAAAATACAAAAATTAGCTGGGCATGGTGGCACGTTCCTGTAGTCCCAGCTACTCAGGAGGCTGAGGCAGGAGAATTGCCTGAACCCAGGAGGTGGAGGTTGCGGTGAGCCGAGATCACGCCATTGCACTCCAGCCTGGGTAACAAGAGTGAAACTCCGTCTCAAAAAAAAAAAAAAAAAAAAAAGATACATCTAGGCCAGGCGTCCCCAAACTATGGCCCATGGGCCGCATGCAGCCTCCTGAGGCCATTTATCTGGCCCCCTGCCGCACTTTAGGAAGGGGCACCTCTTTCACTGGTGGTCAGTGAGAGGAGCACAGTATGTGGTGGCCCTCCAATGGTCTGAGGGACAGTGAACTGGCCCCCCGTGTAAAAAGTTTGGGGACACCTGATCTAGGCAGAATTTAAAAGGCTACTTAGAGGCCGGGCACGGTGGCTCATATCTGTAATCCCAGCACTTTGGGAGGCCATGGCGGGCAGATCACCTGAGACTGGGAGTTCGAGACCTGTTGGCCAACATGGTGAAACCCCATCTCTACTAAAAATACAAAAACTAGCTGGGTGTGGTGGGTGCCTGAAATCCTAGCCACTCAGGAGGCTGAGGCAGGAGAACTGCTTGAACCTGGGAAGCGGGAGCTGCAGTGAGCCGAGCTCATGCCATTGCCCTCCAGCCTGGGGGGCAAGACCAAGACTTCGTCTCAAAAAAATAAAAAGGCTACTTCGAAAGGAACAAAAATTGGTGTGGCCAGAGTCTCCTCCGAAATACTGAATGTCAGAAGACAAAGGAGTAAGGCAGCTTTGTCAACCAAGAAAATTATGACATGTCTAAGTTGCATTTTGTGGTTAAGGGCAACAGAATTGCATTTCTGAGAAAGTTTGAATTTCGAAATAACACTGTGGCTCCTTTTTTTTTTTTTTTTTTTTTTTTTTTTAAGGACATTGTCTTGACTCACCAAGAGATGAAGTAAAATAAAAACCCCAAAATGGGGAAGTATTGACATAAGTCTAAATAATTTTCATTAAATCTAGTTACAAAACTGGATGTAAGTTTCGGAATTTTTTTTTTTTTTTTTTTTTTTTGAGTCAGAGTCTCACTCTGTCACCCAGGCTGGAGTGCAGTGACGTCATCTTGGCTCACTGCAACCTCAGCCTCCCGAGTTTAAGTGATTCTCCTGCCTCAACCTCCCAAGTAGCTGGGATTACAAGCGTGGGCCACCATGCCTGCATGCCTGGCTAATTTTTATATTTTTAGTACAGACAAAGTTTCACCATGTTGGCCAGGCTGGTCTTGAACTCCTGACCTCAAGTAATCCACTTGTCTTGGCCTCCCAAAGTTCTGGGACTACAGGTGTGAGCCACCACAACCTGGCCAGAGCCACTGTCCCTGGCCTCATTTTTTTTTTTTAAAGACGGTGTCTCACTCTGTTGCCGAGGCTGGTGTGCAGTGGCACAATCTTGGCTCACTGCAACCTCTATCTCCTGGGCTCAAGTGGTCCTCTTCCCTCAGCCTGCCACATAGCTAGGACTACAGAAGTATATCACCACGTTCATCTAATTTTTTTGTATTTTTTGTGGAAATGAAGTTTCACTTTGTTGCCCAGGCTGGTCTTGAACTCCTGGGCTCAAGTAATCTGCACACCTAGGCTTCCCAAAGTGTTGGAAGCCACTGCTCCCAGCCCCATAAAAAAATTTCTTTCTTTTTTTTCTTTTCTTTTTTTTTTTTTTTAAGACAGAGTCTCACTCTGTCACGCAGGCTGGAGTGCAGTAGCACAATTTCGGCTCACTGCAACCTCCACCTTTCCGGTTCAAGCGATTCTTCTTCCTCAGCCTCCTGAGTAGCTGGGACTACAGGCACCTGCCACCATGCCTGGCTAACCTTTTGTATTTTTAGTAGAGATAGGGTTTCACCATATTAGCCAGGATGGTCTCGATATCCTGACCTCGTGATCCGCCCACCTCAGCTTCCCAAAGTGCTGAGATTTCAGGTGTGAGCCCGCACCAGAAATTTTTCCCTTTAAAAAAAATTTCTTTTAAAGGGAAAATGTATAATGTAAATTCTAAAAATGATATTAATAGTGTTAAATATGTCATTATTGCTTGTCATACTCTGAGTCCATGGTACTAGGTAACAGAAAACCCAAATCTATTTATACTAGGTAACAGAAAACCCAACTCTACTGAAATGAAAAGAGAATTTATCAGTTCAAGCAGATCAAAACATCTAGTAGGAGGATATAAGACTAACTTCAGGTATAGTTTGATCCAGAAGTTCAAGATGTCATCAGTGTTCTTGTTTTGTTTCTCTGCCATTCTCTCTGCTGTTCCTTTTTTGGCTTTGGCATCCTCCTTAAGTGGGATCCTCCTTCTGACAGCAGTATTAGCTGCAGCAGTTCCAGACCTTATGTCTACACCCTACCATCAGGAGGAAGATAATTTCCTCCCACAGCTTTCCCTGAGGAGAGAGAGGAAGCTTCTTTCCCAGGAACCCCAGAAAATTTCTCCTTGGTGCAGATTGGGTTCTATGTCTGTCCCTTACACAGATCACTGTGGCCAGAGGGTAGAACATGCTGTATTAGTCCGTTCTCAGGCTGCTAATAAAGACATACCCGAGGAACTGGGTGCAGTGGCTCACGCCTGTAATCCTAGCACTTTGGGAGGCCAAGGTGAGTGGATCATGAGGTCAGGAGTTTGAGACCACCCTGACCAACATGGTGAAACCCTGTCTCTACTAAAAAATACAAAAATTAGCCAGGTGTGGTGGCGTGCACCTGTAAGCCCATAATCCCAGCTACTCAGGAGGCTGAAGCAGGATAATTACTTAAACCTGGAAGGTGGAGGTGCAATGAGCCAAGATCATGCCGCTGCACTCCAGCCTGGGTGACAGAGTGACTCTGTCTCAAAAAAAAAGAAGACATACCTGAGACTGGGTAATTTACAAAGGAAAGAGGGTTAATTGACTCACAGTTTAGCATGGCTGGGGAGGCCTCAGGAAACTTACAATCATGGCAGAAGGGGAAGCAAACATCCTTCTTCACATTAGGGCACTCTAGCACAGGGGGAGTTGTCCATTCCATCTAAGCCATCAGGCTGGGAAATTAAGGGCACTGTTAGGGAGGAGAAAAGACTGAATGAACGATGGGGAGGCATGCAACAAAAATCCTCTTCAGGGAATCTGTCGAAACTCTGTGACAACTACTCACTGACCATAGCTGACCTAGTATGTGACAGAGATAGTGAGTTCGTCCCATTCTTCTGTTTTGATTGTAGTAGTAGACTTTTTAGTCTGCCTCTAAAGCACATGGCTGCTCAGCTGAAGACTATATTTTCAGCCAAGAACGATGGCTCACTTGTAATCCCAGCACTTTGGGAAGCTGAGGCAGGTGGATCACCTGAGGTCAGGAGTTTGAGACCAGCCTGGCCAACATGTGAAACCCAGTCTCTACTAAAAATACAAAAATTAGCCAGGCGTGGTGGTGGTACACAGCTGTAATCTCAGCTACTCAGGAGGCTGAGACAGGAGAATTGTTTGAACCTGGGAGATGGAGGTTGCAGTGAGCCGAGATTGCGCCATTGCACTCCAGCCTGGGTGACAGAGCAAGACTCCAAGTCCAAAGAAAAACTCCAAAAAAAGACTATTTTTTTGTAGCTTCTTTTGCAGCCAACTGTGGCCATGTGTTGTCACATAGTTATGGCTTATGGGAGGGAGGATAAACGATTTGATCAACTTTGTTTTTTTGTGAGAATGCTGCTAGTTGATCTTACCTTACTGCAAAGTTGGTTTTAAGGCATAAGGCAAATGTTTTTTTTTTTTTTTTTTTTTTTTTGAGACGGAGTTTCGCTCTTGTTACCCAGGCTGGAGTACAATGGCACGATCTCGGCTCACCGCAACCTCCGCCTCCCGGGTTCAAGCAATTCTCCTGCCTCAGCCTCCTGAGTAGCTGGGATTACAGGCACGTGCCACCATGCCCAGCTGATTTTTTGTATTTTTAGTAGAGACGGGGTTTCACCATGTTGACCAGGATGGTCTCGATCTCTTGACCTCGTGATCCACCCGCCTCGGCCTCCCAAAGTGCTGGGATTACAGGCTTGAGCCACCGCGCCCGGCCCCAAGGCAAATGTTTTCTGTAAGTTCTACGAGATCCCCACAATAAAGTATTTAATTCATTTATAATTTCAGCTTTTATTCTAGATTCGGGGGTACATGTTCAGGTTTGTCGTAAGAGTATATTGTGTGATGCTGAGGTTTGTGAACATGATTAATCTGTCACCCAGGTAGTGAGCATAGAACCCAGGATTTTTTTTTTTTTTTGAGACAGAGTCTCCCTTTGTCACCCAGGCTGGAGTGCAGTGGCATGCTCTCAGATCACTGCAACCTCTGCCTCCCGGGTTCAAGCAATTCTCCTGCCTCAGCCTCCCGTGTAGCTGGGATTATAGTCATGCACCACCACACCTGGCTAATTTTTGTATTTTTAGTAGAGATGGGGTTTCACCGTGTTGGCCGGGCTGGTCTTGAACTCCTGACCTAGGTGATCCACCTGCCTTGGCCTCCCAAAATGCTGGGATTACATCCATGAGCCACGGCGTCCCACCAGAACCCAGTAGCTTTCTCACCCCTTTCCCCACTCTCTCCCTCCTGCTCTGGAGTCCCCAGTGTCCATGGTTTACATCTTATGTCCCTGTGCACCCAGTGTTTAGCTTCCACTTATAAGTGAGAGCATGCAATATTTGGTTTTCTGTTCCTGTGTTAATTTGCTTAGAATAAGGGCCTCCAGCTATATCCATATTGCTGCATATGGGACATGATTTTGTTCTTTTGTTTGATTGTTTGCTTTTTTGTTTTGGGGGTTTTTTTGGAGAGAAGCAAGAATATGACTTTAACATCAACAATGACACTATTTAACAGGACAGGAGCGAGGTAGTGGAGAGAGGAGATGGTCGGGCTTCCTGTTTCTTAACCAGCCTTGATTTTAACAGCAGAGCCCCAGCAACCTAGAATCACCTCATCTAGTCTCTCAATGGAGTGGGAAGGGGCAGGGAATTGGAAATCAGAGGCTCAAAATGTAAAGAAGGCTGATGGCAAGCCTGGGGAGAGGCCTGGAAACGAGGGAAGGGCTGAGGGCTGTGAGGAGTCCCCTAGCACAGGACTTCGGCAGTGAACATGCCCCTGGCCCTGCACAGGATCAAGTCCTTGGTGGCACCATACAGGTGCTCTTTGGAGGGGATCTCCAGGACAGCTGGGATGGAGTGCTGGTGGGCGTCCAGGGTGTGCTGCACCATCTCTGTGATGTACTGGTTGATGAGGATGATGCCAACGTCATCCCAGTTTAGAAAATGCCAGCAAGTGTCTTTGATCTCATTGATGGTTGTAACCTTCTCCACCACCAGGAAATTGGGGTGGCGGTTCTTGTTAAGCGTCCCTATGCCACGCAGCAGGAAACCCGTCACCCTGTCCTCATCTTTGATCACTTCGATAAGCTTCCCCCTCCCAGCCATCCCTGTAGCTGATTTTCTTCTTTTCTATGGCTGCAGCAATCAACTTTGGTGGTAGACTTTAGTGAATGAGCTTGCCCTTTCCTCGTCCTCCTAGCTGGAATGTAGGCCAGGAGTTGAGCCTTTTGGACTCTGTGGTGAGGACAACCCTTAGAGATGGCAAAACAGCAGTATCAGAGGATTCTGGGTCCCTGGACAACCTGAAAGAGCAGGAGTGCTGCTGTGGACCACCTGCCTCCTTACTATTTTGTGAGCAAGAAATAAACTGCTATCCTGTTTGAGACATTGTTAATTTGGGTCTCTGTTTAAAGCAGTCAAAGTTACCAGAAATCTGTAAACTGTACCACAAACTCTAGGCCAAATAGATTTGCTTTCTCTTAGGATATAAACTGGGAAAAATAGAAGATTTGCTAGTGGTTTCTGTACCTTAAATTGGTTATAAAGATACTGTGAGATTGAGTCAGTGCTGTTTATTTTATTTTATTTATTTACTTATTTTTGAAATGGAGTCTCACTCCCAGGCGGGAGTACAATGGCGTAGTCTGGGCTCACTGCAACCTCTGTCTCCTGAATTCAAGTTATTCTCCTGCCTCAGCCTCCTGAGTAGCTGGGATTACAGGCATACACCACCAAGCCTGGCTAATTTTTTTTTTTTTTTTTTTTGAGACAGAGTCTTGCTCTGTAGCCCAGGCTGGAGTGCAATGGCATGGTCTCGGCTCACTACAACCTCCACCTCCTGGGTTCAAGCAATTCTTCTGCCTCAGCCTCCCCAAGTAGCTGGCAATACTGGCACCTGCCACCATGCCCAGCTAATTTTTGTATTTTTAGTAGAGACAGGGTTTTACTATGTTGGCCAGGCTGGTCTCAAACTCCTGACCTTGTGATCCTCCTGCCTTGGCCTCCCAAAGTACTTGGGATTACAGGTATGAGCTACCACACCTGGCCAAGCCTGGCTAATTTTTTTGTATTTTTAGTAGAGACAGGGTTTCACTGTGCTGGCCAGGCTGGTCTTGAAATCTTGACCTCAGGTGATCCATCTACCTTGGTCTCCCAAAGTGCTGTAATTACAGGTGTGAGTTACCATGCCTAGCCTATTTCCTAAAAATTTAGCATATTTCAAGTAATTTTTTGATACAGAGTCTTACTCTGTCACCCAGGCTATAGTGCAGCAGTGGTTTCATCTTGGCTCACTGCAACCTCAGTCTTCCAAGTAGCTGGGACTACAGCAATGTATCACCATGCCTGGCTAATTTTTGTATTTTTCATAGAGATGGGGTTTTACCATGTTGGCCAGGCTGGTCTCAAACTTCTGGCCTCAAGTGACCCGCCCACCTTGGCCTCCCAAAGTGCTGGGATTACAGATCTGAGCCACTGCACTAGGCCAATCAATTCTAAGTCGCACATTTTTTGCACATTTTATCGTTCCCCAAATTAGGATATATTGTATCCTACTGGTGTCATACAACACGGTAGGTTTTGCCTACATTTGTGAGAAGCCACTCATAGCTGTTCATATTGTTATCACTTCAGCTGATTTGTGAACCCCACTGATACTACACTTCTTGAGTTGAATTGCTGTTTATAATGTCTTCAAATAACACACAGTATCATTTACATTAGCACTGTCCCAAATTAAATACTAACATACGAAGCTAACAAAATATGCATACGATCTACATGAGGAAAATTATAAAACTGTGATGAAAGAAATCAAAGAAGACAGTCAGGTGCTGTGGCTCATACCTGTAATGCCAACACTTTGGGAGGCTAAGGCGGGCGGGTCACAAGGCCAGGAGTTCAAGACCAGTCTGACCAACATGGTGAAACCCCATTTCTACTAAAAATAAAAAAATTAGCCAGGTGTGATGGCACATGCCTGTAATCACAGCTACTCAGGAGGCTGAGGCAGGAGAATTGCTTGAACCTGGGAGGCGGAGGTTGCAGTGAGCCGAGATTGTGCCATTGCACTCCGGCCTGGGTGACAGAGCAGGACTCTGTCTCAAAAAAGAAAAAAGAGTAAGAATAAGAAATCAAAGAAGATACTAATAAATGGAGATAGTCCATGTTCATAGATAGGAACACTCAATATTGTCAAGATGTCTGTTCTTTCCAGCTTGATCTATGTCTTCAACACAATTCCAATCAAAATCCCAGAAAATCATTTCGTGGATATTTACAAACTGATTCTAAAGTTTGTTTGGAGGAGCAGAAGACCCAGAATAGCCAACACAATATTGAAGGAGAAGAACAAAGTTGGAAGAGTGACACTACCCAACATCAAGACTTGCTATAAAGCTGTAGTAGGGCTGGGCATGGCCAGCCTGTAATCAGATCTGTAATCCAAGTGCATTGGGAGCCGAAGGGGAAGGATTGCTTGAGGGCAGGAGCTGAACGTTACAGTGAGCTGTGATGGTGCCACTGTGCTCCAGCCTGGGTGACAGAGCAAGACCCTGTCTCTAACAAAAACAAACAAAAGGCCAGGTATGGTGGCTCACACCTGTCATCACCAGCACTTTGGGAGGCTGAAGTGAGCAGATCATGAGGTCAGGAGTTCTAGATCGGCCTGACCAATATGGTGAAACCCCATCTCTACTAAAAATACAAAAATTAGCCAGGTGTGGTGGCATGCACCTATAGTCTCAGCTACTCGGGAGGCTGAGGCAAGAGAATTGCTTGAAACTGGAGGCAGAGGTTGCAGTGAGCCGAGATTGTGCCACTGTACTCCAGCCTGGGCAAAAGAGTGAGACTCCATCTCAAAAAAAAAAAAAATAGGCCGGGTGCGGTGGCTCAAGCCTGTAATCCCAGCACTTTGGGAGGCCGAGGCGGGTGGATCATGAGGTCAAGAGATCGAGACCATCCCGGTCAGCATAGTGAAACCCCGTCTCTACTAAATATACAAAACATTAGCTGGGCATGGTGGCACGTGCCTGTAATCCCAGCTATTCAGGAGGCTGAGGCAGGAGAATTGCCTGAACCCAGGAGGCAGAGGTTGCGGTGAGCCGAGATCGCGCCATTGCACTCCAGCCTGGGTAACAAGAGCGAAACTCCGTCTCAAAAAAAAAAAAATAATAATAATAATAATAATAACAAAAACCAACCAAAAAAAACCTACAGTAATCAAAACAGTGTGGTATTGATTAAAGGACAGACAAATATATCAATGGAACAGAATAGAGAGGCCAGAAATAGGCCCACACAAAAATAAGTCTACTTATTTTTGACAAAGGAGAAAAGGCACTACAATGGAGAAAAGATACTCTTTTCAACAAATAGTGCTGGAACAACTGGATATCCACATGCAAAAAAAGTGAACCTAAGCATAGACCTTTCATCTTTCATTCTTTACAAAAATTAACTCAAAATGGATCATAGATGTAAATGTAAAGTACAAAACTATAAAACTCCTAGAAGACAACATGGGAAAATATCTGGATGAGCTTGGGTTTGGCAATGACTTTCATGATGCATGAAATAAATAACTGATAAACTGGTGGCTGGGCGTGGTGGCTCACACCTGTAATCCAAGCACTTTGGAGGCCAAGGTGGGCAGATCACCTGAGGTTGGGAGTTCAAGACCAGCCTGACCAACATGGTGAAACCCCGCCTTAAAAAAAAAAATTGATAAGCTGGACTTGATTAAAATTAAAAACTTCTCCTGGTCATGATCTCTCATGCCTGTAATCTCAACACTTTGGGAGGCCAAAGCAGGAAGATCGCTTGAGCTGTAAGTTTGAGACCAGCCTTGGCAACATAGCAAGACCCTGTGTCTACAAAAAAATTTTTTAAATTAGCCAAGTGTGGGGGTGTGTGCTTCTAGTCTCACCTACTTAGAAAGCTGAGGCGGGAGGATCACTTGAGCTCAGCAGGTTGAGGCTGCAGTGGGCTGTGATTGTACCACTGCACTCCAGCATGGGCAACAAAGCAGACCTTGTCTCAAAAATAAATAAATTTAAAACTTCTCAGCTGGGCACTGTGGCTCACGCCTGTAATCCCAGCACTTTGGGAGGCCAAGGCAGTCGGATCATGAGGTCAGGAGATGGAGACCATCCTGGCCAACATGCTGAAGCCCCGTCTCTACTAAAAATACAAAAATTAGCCGGGCATGGTGGCGCGCCTGTTGTCCCCACTACTTGGGAAGCTGAGGCAGGAGAATCACTTGAACCCAGGAGGGAGAGGTTGCAGTGAACTGAGATTGCACCACTGCACTCCAACTTCTCTGCAAAGACACTGACAAGAGAATGAGAAGACAAGCCACAGAGTGCAAGAAAATATTTGCAAAAGAGAAATTTGCTAGAGGACTGTTATCCAAAACATAAAATAACTATTTTTGAATTTTGCTCTTGTCGCCCAGGCTGGAGTTCAATGGCATGATCTCGGCTCACTGCAACCTCTGCCTCCTGGGTTCAAGCGATTCTCCTGCCTCAGCCTCCCAAGTAGGTGGGATTATAGGTGCCCACCACCATGCCTGGCTAATTTTCTGTATTTTTAGTAGAGACGGGGTTTCACCATGTTGGTCAGGCTGGTCTCCAACTCCTAACCTCAAATGATTCACCCACCCCTGCCTCCCAAAGTGCTGGGATTGTAGGTGTGAGCCAGCGCACATGGAAGATAGTTTCCTACAAAACTAAATGCTACTAGAACCATATGATCCAACAATCGAAATCTTTGGTATTTATAACCAAATGACTTGAAGACTTATGTTCACACAAAAACCTGAACAAGGTGTTTAGAAAAACTTTATTCATATTGCTAAAACTTGGGAACAACCAAGATGTCCTTCAGTAGGTGAGTGGATAAACTAGGATTATAGGTGTGAGTCACCACAACTGGCCACAAATAACTATTTGCAGATAATGAAATATTACCCAGTGCTAAGAAGAAATGAGCTCTCAAGCCCTGAAGGGACATAGAAGAACCTTATATACATAAGTGAAAGAAGCTGATCTGAGGCCAAGTGTGGCGGCCCATGCCTGTAATCCCATCATTTTGGGAGGCTGAGGCGG